CCACAGTGTGATGATTAAAGGATTTATTGTTTACTTTCACATCCATTTCCTCCAAAGGATACAAACCTTGGAATGTTTGTACAAAACTAAATATTGCTTAAATACATGCTATACTACAATTAAAAGCAAAATATAAATAGATTTAAGCTTTTATACATCTTTATTCATCGCTATAAAGAATATTTCAATTTTTGGTTTCATCTATTCAGTGAATTTGTATAATTGATCTATTTTATTTTATAATTATTGTATATTTCATCTATTCAGTGAATTTGTATAATTGATCGCTTGACCGCCAAAATAAATATACTTCTTTGAAGTCCTGAAACGTGGAAAGTCATTCACATTTGTACCATAATTTACAACCAAATACTCTGAAAGTTTGTAAACAATACTTTAAGATTCCATATTCCACATTCCCCAAAACTGGCAGTTTTTAGTTATTTAACTATGAATAAATACAATTGTGAATTAAGTATTTTAAGTTCGTTGTACTATTTATTTTAGGGAGAGAAGGAATGTGAAAATCAAACATTTAGAATGAATTTGTATAATCTGTTGATTTTCTTTTAAATAAAATGAAGACAATGAAATGTTTCCATGTTTTATGAATTATATGCTGATAAGTTATTCTGTTATTCTAGTTTTAAAATCATCAGCAATGTGAAGAAGGAACCCCAGTAAACAACATTGTATTGCAAGAAATCTGTTCATCCTGGGCTCCATTACCTTATGTTTTAGATATTATTCACATATCTTTCCTTTAATAATTTTGTACTCAGGAAACCTCCAGGTACCAGTTTAGATCCCTTATCTAATTCCCTGCAAGTTTAATATTTCAATCTGGAAACTTTAGCCAAGAATCATATTGCCAAGATTATTCTATGAATTATTCAAATACTTGTTTAAGGATATGACAGCATCAGGTGTCAATGAAATGACAGTCTTTGTGGGTGACTCAAGATGGATCACTCTTCTCGCTTTCCTTTGGGAATGAATTAAATGTTCAAACAAGTTTTTTTAAAAATATTCAGATGGCTGTTTTTACTTTGCTACTGATTACTTTCAAAAAATAATTCTACATGCCTAAGTGCCAGATAGACTTGCTCTGCTTTCCTTGCATACAGCCAGGGAGGCAAGGTTGAAAACAAAATAGATTAAAAATAAGAAAAAGGGACACAAAATAGTCAAGGTAATACAATTTCAGTCCACACAACTCCTGCTAATAATATCATTATTTCTCTCCTTCAGGTGAGTCATTAAATTGAGGTTCGGCTTCTACTTGTTCAGGTGATGTTCAACATCCCCGATGGTATTCCAAAACAGAAAGTTTTTTCTGGTGTGTTGGCAAACCATCCTTCATACAAATTAGTCACGTCATGGCTGTTTCTGGGACCAACCAAAATACCTACTACATTTGTCTAAAAATACACCGCCACTACATTTGACAGCAATTATTTGTGAAGCTATTATAGATACTATATTAAATGCAAATATTGTATTATTATAACCGGAGCATTTAACTAAATGCCGTAGTGCTAACTCAAAAAGTGTCACTTTCAAGGCCCTCCACAGTCTTGCTCTTCCCTACTTCTGTGATCTCCTAACCCCCTACCAACTTGTCCGCTCAACGGGCTCCGGCCTGCTTCACGTCCCCCGACTTGGCCACTCCACCATTTGCGGGCGGGGCTTCAGCATTTCTGCCCCCATCTTCTGGAACTCCATCCCACAGCCCCTCCGCTTTGCCCTCTCCCTTGCTTCCTTCAAGACCCATCTCAAGAGCCTCCTCTTCGAACGTGTCACCCTCCTACACCCCCCCACCTCCTGATCCCAACCACCAGCTCAGGTGTGGATCCCTGACTTTCCAGCGTCTTGGGATGTCCTCCTTACATTAAAGGCCTCTACAAATGTAATTTGTTGTTGTTGTCAAGTTTACAAAACAGAAAACATTCTATATAATCAAAGCTTCAGTATACTAATTGGGACCCTTCTAATAAATCCTTATTAAACAGGATAAGCAGATTTTAAGCACAGTAGGATACAATTGTATTTTCACTGGATTTCTAAATTCAACATTAAATGCATGATTAAAACGCATCTATTTTAAGTAGATTCTGTGGTGATCTGTGCAGCTTAAATAAATCTTCAAGATTCCCTACCATGGAATGACTGGATGTGGGGAGAGGAAGAAAATTACCCAAATTATATGGAAGAGAGGGTTAAATGTTACATTTTATACATTCTACAATTGAGAGCATAGATTCCTCCAGTTTTCAGATTCGAAGCATATGATTTGCAATGTTTGTTTACTCTTGTATATCTTTTTTTTACTTGACCCACAGACAATGGGCCTATTTTGCAAGTTGTGTAAACCATGTGTAAACACACCTATTCAGAAGAATTAGAAGTTCCCTTGATTTCGTAATTAGCCAATGAATGGAGAATCTCTATTTACACCTTGTCAAAAATCAAAAACTCATCTTTTGCAGCATGAAACATAATTAGCAATTCCACTTGTTTTTAAGACACTGTGCATCACGCCAACAATTTCAACAAAAAGGTTCATACATGTACTATAATAATACTTGCATTTGATATAGCACTTTATCATGTCTTCAAGATGTCTCAAAGCGTTTCACAGAATATACTGTAAAATTAATTGACTGTATATTTTGTGGACAAAACACAGTAGCCAATTGTGCACAGCAGTGTCCCACAAACAGTCGTGGATTGAGTGATCCATTTATTATTATTTTTTTGGAAGGAATTATTATTCCCGGAAAAGCGATCAGACTAATGACTGTGTTTCTACTAGGTAAACATAGGCGTGTGGAGTAAGGAAACTTGCCAAACGTTTCGCCCTGCCAGGAATCGAACCCAGATCTTTTGCTTACAACTTGTGTATTAGTCACTTTACAATGTAAGAGTAGTGTAATCAGTCAGCCCAATGGCATGGCTCACGTGCACCTGTCAAAGTCTTGACGCTTTACAAATATGAACAAATGGCATCCACTCAACCTTTTCTGAGATTTGAATAAAACCATCACAATTGTGATCTTTGTATAATCCATCACCTGCAGCTGTTCTCCATTATACAAGTCTAATTGCTTAGGGTATCCTCTTTGAAATCAGTTGCTCAACATGTGGGGAATTGTGGGGTTAGGCCTACTTCATATCATTCCAATGCGCAAAATGTTAAGAGCTATTACTAATTCCTAAGTATGCCCTTTGAGGAAATTTTGGTTTGAGGTTGCAACCTGTAAAGTTAGTTAAAATGTTAGGTTACACATTTACTTGTGTTCCTGGTTGACCTAAGCAAAATAAAATTATGACAAAAATGTTCATACGCAATCAACGATATGACTACAAAGATAACAGTTTCTTACAAACCTCCCAAATCAAAAAAATGTAAGATATATTTCACCAGCATGATTTCAACAGGATCTTTTAATTAAAAGATGGACAATTAATATCTGTTAATAGTAAAAATCTCAAATAGGTGTTCTCTAAATGAGAAATTAGTAACAGTGGTGATCACTATCTTCTTTTGGTCAGATATATTTTACTCCACAATGGTTTTCCATCATCTCAACATATTAGCAAGGCATTTCAGAAAAGTTGCAACATAAGGTAAGCATCAGAAATCAGCATTTCAGAAATTGACCAGGGCTACAACTTTCACCCAGATGTCAAGCAAATTGAAGAGGACCCAAGAAAGCAATGAGAAACACTAAGTACTTTTCATATTTTCTTTTCTGTTCAGGCCAATGAAACAAAGCACATGCAAGTATATCTATAACAATTAAGGCCTTAAGCTTGTACAATGTCATTCTATCTTGGGCATTCATAGTATTGACAACATTATTCAAGAACTAATCAGTTGAGGAGAAATGGGCATCCTTAAAATTATGCAGTACATGCAGAACCAGTATATACCGAAGTTCAGCAGGGGCAAAATCTAAACACACAAAAATGGATCAACAGGAAAATAAAAGGGAAATAAAGAAACAAAACATTTATAACAATTGTCGGAAGAAAAGAGAGAGCGACTATTGGGCTGAATATAAGACTGTACAGAAACAAAAGAATCAGAGGGAGCCACGAGAGAATTCGAAAGCAGCAAATGGAAAATGCCAATTTTTCCCCCAATGCTATAACAGTAAGAGGGTAGTCAAGGAGCACATTAAAATCCTAAGAGATTTTACGTGGGTAAATCACAGTCCTAGTAACCTCAACCATGCATCTGTTTTGTTGTTGCTGTAGCTGTATTCTCTTCAACAATGAGAATAAATGTGTGTGTATATATATATATATACACACACATATACACACACACATATACACACACATACATATGTATAGACACCCACACACACATATATACACACACATATATACACACACACATATATACACACACACATATATACACACACACATATAAACACACACACATATATACACACACACATATAAACACACACACATATATACACACACACATATATATACATTTATATATACACACACATATATATGCACACACACACACATATATATATACACACACATATATTTATACACACACATACATTTATATACACACACATATATACACACACATATATACACACACATATATACACACACATATATACACACACACACATATATATATACACACACACACACATATATATATATACACACACACACATATATATATATAGTTAGCGTGTGAATATACTGTGTTCTATATAACTTTAATGTTGACCATTGCTTTCGATTTGGAATACAGCAGCTCAATAATTTACTTTCATTAAATTTTGAAGTAGAGTACTATTTACCATTGTGGTGATGCTCAAATGGGTAAAAATGTCCAATAGTACTCAATATGCAGTTCATACAGTTTCAAGAATATTTCATGAATACAATAGACATTGTGCATTTGAAGTAAGTCCAGGAGTTTAACATAAATTTAAAGCGGAATGTTGTCATACCTGGTAGTATAATTTGATATGCTGCACCAGAGTAGATAAATTTTGAATTCGAAGTGCTGCATCATTGTTGACTTTCTTGTTTAATCTTTGATTTACTGATTTAGCGTTTCTGAAAACAAGAAAAAAAACCAAGATTAATAACTATAGATATATTTTCCTTAGGGGAGGGAGAATACTAACATGAATAGCTGAAATGATCTTATGAATGCATTTTAAAAGTCAAACCAATTTTCATCAGCATTTTTTCCTTTCCCCGAGACAAAAATCTAAAGAACTGAATCACTGTATTTCGAGATTCTCACACTCGGTTTCAAATTCCTTCATGCACTGGCACCTGCCTACTCTCTGACTTTCTTGTTCCCCAACACACTACCTCCACTCGACTGGCTTTGGCCTCCTGCATGTTCCTTGTGCCCTCCATTCCACCACTGGAGGCCTTGCTTTCAACCATTACGCCCCAAATCTCTGGAACACTCTTCCTCTATCCCTCCGCCTTTCCCCTTCCTTCTCGCATCTTCAGATCGAGCCTGAAGACGCGTTCCTCTTCAACCGTGCCTACGGTCGCCTTCCCTCCCCCCGGTTCGATGTTGTGCTCCTCCACTGTCAAATGTTCTGAGACGCTACCCTGAGTGAGGGGCGCTATATAAATGCAAATTGTTGTTGTATTTTTTTCACTTTGCTATCGTTTCTAGAGTGTTGACAAGCATTAATATTGCACAACTGTACAAATAATGAGTAATAATAATAAAAGCTTATTTCAGTACAAAAAGCAGGTTTCAAACTAACTAAATTAATTTGCTTCATACAGTATCTACCGTGCAAAAGACTTCAATCAATGGCTCTGTGAATAAAACTTTAATAATATTTGTACTAAAATCAAGATTTAAGGTTCGCATGTCTTGATATAAGGTAGCCAGTGCCTATCAACATCAAGTTCCAGTATGCACAATCTGCAATCAAATATTTTAGCTTTAAAGAAAAATAAAATGCCATCCACAATACCATCTGACAGATTGATTTCTTTTTGGCCACCCTAAAGGCCAAAATTTGGAATTACTTAGCTATTTTCAATTGAATACAGAATTCCAACTCATTAGACCAACACGCTGAAGATAAAGGGAGAGAAACCAGGAGTCTGATTATGTAATATTGTATTGTTATTCAAGCCAATACATTCACTCAAAAATGAACTAGATTAGGTTCCAAAAACATTTCAGTGCTGTATAAATTCAAGTTTTTTTTTTACTTTACACATTTCTTTTTTTAAAAATTGAAAACGCTCTTAAACAAATAGTACTTTAGTTCAGTATTCTTTCTTCCCCTTCCCCTTTTGAGCAAATGTTAGTGTTTTTAGGGTTAGTGTAATGCATCCTTAAGTACCGAGCCCCACAGTAACCTATTAGATAGATTAGAATGGTTGTATCTTTTTAACTACCATCAGATATGGAAAATGGGTCAGATTACAAGAGGGCAGGATCACACAGCTGCAGTTCCCTGCATTGGCATGGCTCCAAGATGGCTGGATGGGTAGAGAACAAATATTCCTACTCTTTTCATGCTTTTTTTGAGGAATGGTGGGGGGAGGGTGGGGGAGAGAAGAAGAAAGAAACCACTTGTAATTCAAGATTAGAAATAACAGAGTGGAGAGCAATTCTAAGGAACTTGCATTTTGAGGTCATCTAAACAACTTCCTTAGGTTACAGGCTCAGGAATCACTCACTACTGTTATATACTGTACATTGTATTTGCTGTCTGTAAAATCACTACGAGTATACTGGTTGTTTCCTTCTCTAGCATCTGGATTCGAAGATAAAATCTTATTTGAACTAATAATAGAACAAAATAATGTAGATTCCGTGGAAATGTAATTTTTGTTTTATGAACCCTCAGTGTTAGCATGAAATAATTCTGCTCTACGTTTATGTACTTTCAGGATGAAAAACATTTTGTGAACTTGCTAAAATTAATTGTAAAATAGCTCAAAATACTCACGCTTGAATCACAGAATGTGAACTAACAGAAAGAATACAGCCTACCCAAAATAATCCTTGCACCCAAATTACAAGTAAGTACTAACTTAAATTGCACTGCTGCACAATATTCACCCATAATATACAACCATTTGCTGTATGGATAGTTAAATATATACAATATTGAATTAATCTTTGTTCCATATCTATCGACTGCAATCCTGGAACATTCATGGCTATGCAGGTTTCCAATATTTACAGAATAAAAAATATTGTGAACGTTCTAGAATTTTAAAGTAAATGCTGTTCACACTACTTAAATAATTTGGAGATAAACATTCCTTGCAATACAAGATTTGCTGGTGACATTAAGTTCTCTGAACAGGTGAATTATATGAGGATCCAAAAACAATCAAGTATATCTTGACCAATAAAGCACATGGGCTAAGGAGAGGCATGTGGAAATTAAGGCACGTGATTGCAAAGTAATATGTAGTGAAACAAGAAACATAAGATACATGTACAAAATGTCTATCAGCAAAGAAAGAAAAGGATTTGAGCAAGATCGCTGATCATTCACTATGGTTCCCTGGCAATGTGAAGCTGCAGTCATCAAACTGAATTAAAAACTGTGCTGCATCTTGCTGCACCCAAAGATGCTGATCCAGCTCTGCGTGTGCTCCAAGACCACAATGTGAATACTGTAAGTGGTTTTGGACGTCCTAAAGCCAAACGAACATTGAAGAGAATTCAGAGAACCCAACAAGAATCTAGAACCTGGAGCTCTATGAATTTTGTGGCTGTGGAAAAAAAGGGTGTCCTTTTTCCCCATTTCTTATGTTATTAAAACAATAAAACCAATTCCATACACCACCAACTAAAGAGCAGCTAGATCTTTATTTAACAAACCAAACACATGTCCTCAACATACCCTCTTATGCATTTGTTGCTCAAATCATCAAAATGCTCTTCTTTAACACTTTAACCATTATTACACTAAAGGAAATATCAACTCAGGAAACAATACTTATACCAGGGCTGCTTTGTTCAGTCCATAACAATTTTTATGGATTATCGAGGCCAACATACTCTATTGCAGTACACAGGCATAGCGAAAAAACTAAATATTTAAATTATCAGCTGTATCCCTTCCAACTGCATACCACAGAAAATCTCACATTAAACCTCTGCCTGGCAACCCGCTGCAATCAATGAACAGGAAACCTAAACCAACCAACTAAACTGCTTTCTGCAGTCACATACCCACGATGAGAACACAATTTTTTCATCACATTGAACAGTTGTCGTATTACTATGGACATCTGCCATGTGTAAGCTTCCTGTTATCCTGTAGACATCAGCCCTTTTGTAAATTAAACAAGACAAAATACCTATCGCCAGGACTCCGTCTTTTCATTCTGGATTGGTTTCAATTGTTATCATTGGGAGGAGCGCCAACTGCGTCAGCTAACTTTGTGCCCACTTACGCACACAAGGGCATGTACAAACTTGATTACACGCATACAAACAAACAATGATACACACGCATGCGAGGGCACACACACACACACATACAGTCAAATAGACGCAGAGCCATTTTAGTTTGCACTTCTGAAGGCCACCACATAAGTGAAGACATTGAATTCAGGCAACACTGGATGATTTGGGGAGGACATTGCAAAGCACTTCACAGGTTTTACTGTAAAGTGCATTTTGTAGGTGAATGCAGAAAACAATTTGTGCACAGCAATATCTCACAGATAGCTATGAAGTGAATGACCAATTTTATCTGGGGGATTGTTGACCAGTGCACTTCTCTTTTCAAACAGTAGTGGCATGAATCTTTAAGTCTCTCTGAGTAGGCAGATGGCATCTCGTTTTAATATTGGGATCTCTAATAATGCAATGCCCATCACCCCCCCTCCCGCCCCAACACTACAACAGTGTCAGCCTTGACAATACAAGTGAATAGTCTGACATGGGGCCTGAACCCACCAGAGGAGAGTCCTATCACAGGTTTTGTTTTTGATCAGCTGGATGTCTGACACATGTGGAAACCCATAACCATTCTTATGAATACCAAAAATAGACACAGTTCTAGATATGTCTGTATATATACGTGACATTTTCTGTACCTGGATCGGAATAGACACCCTTTCCCTGGTTTGCCTAAATCCGGAGAGTATTAGGCACAGGTTGGCAAGAGCCAAGGTTTGAGCACCACAAAGTTGGCATACCACTGGCATTTAACCAGCTAAAACTGCATAGGTTGTCATTGAGAGCACTGTCTAGCCAGCTTCCCGCTGCATGACCAGCTAGGACCATTCTATCCATTAGGGCCTTATCTTGTAAAATTAAGAGGAGTCGATTGGGAATAATCCCTGCTGCCAGTCTGTCCTTCCAAGTCCTGCCAATCAGCTGGATAACTGATCTGCCATCAGCAGTGCCCTAGAGAGGACTGTGCAATCTACCCACCCCAGCTCGGGAACTGGACTATCGAAAACACCATAGAAAGTTGACTCAATTCCAACATACCATTGGCAAGCACGTCACCTCGGCTCCAAGAAAGCTGTGTTTATCTTGATAAGGCACTGTATCAAATGCAAGGATTATTATTATTATAATCATCTTTTCGCACAACCCCAGGAGGATTGTCACAAGTTGGTCATTGATAAACATGGGTTTGAGCCCTCACTGAGAGGATAGCAGATATCTCCTGCCCACAGCTCAGGTATGCATCCTTACCGATTGATTGATGGTACCACCAATTGAAAGTGTGGATATGGAGCATCATAAAATGAAGCAAACGCTTTTGTTTTAAATCTCCTGTAATTTAATTATCTGATAAATGTAAAAAAAACTTTAAGATCTCATCTGCTAATATGCTGTAAAAAAAAAGTTAAATTGTGCAGAGTAACTTCCAGCCTCTCTGCCCCCACACTCTGGACCTCCATCCCAGGGTCCCTTCGCCTCGCTTCCTCCCTTGCCTCCTTCAAGGCCGGTCTCAAGACCCTTCACTTTGATTGTGCCTTTGATCGCCGTCCCACCTCTCTGCCTTCCCTCACCCCTAAACCACCCCTCACCACATGCTCGGACCCCGACACCTGACTGTTCAGCACTTTGGGACGTCCTCCCGACGTGAAAGGCGCTCTATAAATGTAATTTTGTTGCTGTTGTTGTAATGTATGTTTTGATCTAAAGAAAATTATTTAATCAAGTGTATATTGGAAATCTACTAATTAGTTTAGCAGAATAACATGATCATAATGTCAGGTTAGTCCACTGGATAACTATCATTTGTATTTTGGTTTATTTCTGTTTATATCCACTATAATAAATAAAATACAAAGTGGTGCATAAAATAAGTCAATAAATAGTAATATGCAAGATAAATTTAGAAGATTAAAGTGCTGGACGCACCAGCACTTTAATCCCAATTAGCAAAACTCCAGTATAAATCCAACAGTTGCAGAAAAAAACAATACCCAATTTTCAGTCCCTCCCTTCCTTTCTCCAAAAGTGCAACCTGAGATGTGGCTTTACTCCACTAAGCATCTGAGAAACAAAACCATCAGACTGACACCATGCAACACACACATGCTTTTTCACTGAATCAACCAATGGTTAAATATTAATGGAGCTAAAGCATACACTTCCCTGCAAACATTTTTCAATTTTACAGAACATTTGAAAATTAAATCTTAAAACCTAAAGCTTTTAGATTTTTAAAACAATTACTATGTATTTAAACTACTAGAATTTAAAAACTCATTTGATAGTTTCAGTAGACTATATATTTTTGTCTTTCACTGACAAAAGTTACAATACTTCCAATGATTGTATGATTGGTTGGTTTAGTTCAAGAGCTCACTGTTCTGAGCATTTGCATCTCAAATCTACATTTCTTATGCTAAATAACTTTATTTCCATCACTTTAGTTACTGACTTTTTAAATCTACATACTGCTCATTACATTAACTGCAATCACTCTTAGGTATTTTAAAATCAATGACATGATTCAACTTACTGGAATATGAATAATTGTGCATGACTCAAATGTTAGATCTGTCTCACTACTTTAGTCAACTTGATGTGTAATACTCTCGACAATTAAGCAAGGACAGCACAGCAAACTAGAGGAGCGAGCATCTTTAGAAAAAATATTTGTTAATTTTTTTATCAAATATTAATTTAATGAAAGTTTGCAACGCCATGAATTCTATTAGAACTTCCAGCATTTTCTACTTCTTAAGTTCCTTACAATATAATGGTAAAGTGCCAGAAGCTAGTTTGGTTGTCAATCTGTGGATCTCTTCCAGGACAATGAGCATACTGCAGATGAATGGATTTCTTTGTAAGAAAATTAGAATGCTTCACTGACAAGTAGCCTGCCGAAATAGGCCAATTCTGCATAGAAGTCTATAGGCATCATAGTGCAAAGAACAACCTACAGCTATTTTCATTTGTGAGTAACCTACTTATGACAACTGACATCAATTTCATTTGGAAACACATAGTGCAGTTTTTCACTGTAGAAGTCCAGCTGTACAATTTTAGCAAAAGAAAATAGCAGTCCCAGTGATTAACCTGCCTTGTGCTTCAGAGCATCCTCTCTCCCCTCTCCCCCACCGACCAAAATTATGTTTCGATATAGGGTAGCATTAAGAATCTTCACTGACACACTGACCAAAATCCATCAGATCTGAAATTTGATCACTTAATGGGAGTTACAGTACAGCTTAAAGCCAGACTCCAAACTGGCAGCAAATCTGCGGCCATCTGTCTATGGCTGGCTTTGAACCATCAGTAAACCCCGAACCAATGAGTTTCATGTCCAAACTGTGTTTATAGAGATCCTAGAAACTGTGAAATATTTACAACACAATGTTAAAAAAGGTATTTAAACTAAAAATAATTTTACGATCATTAAACAGTACTTTGTACTGCTCACTGCAAAGCTCTATAAAACATTTCCTTTGATTTAATCAATACTTAATCAATGTTACTGTAAATTACATGCAATGTATTTAAGACAGCACAAGATTAGCTTTTTATCTAGAAGAATTAGTATTAAAGTTGTTGTCTTCAAAATATGAGTTATATTAAAATTCTGAGTCAAAAAATTAATATAGTAACTGAAGTTAAACATTTCCCAAACTTCTCCATTTTTAACACACTTATTAAAAGAGATGTACCTTGGATTTTTCTCCCATCGTCTTTCTAGGTGCTACTCATCTTCTTGACAAGAGGGATTCTTTATAGACCTCTACCAATGCTCTGTATCCACCTACTGGATTTGTTTCACCCACAAAATATACAGTGAATCCCCTTCACAAAAAACAACTTGCATTTATATAGCTCCCCTCACGCAGGGTAGTGTCTCAGACTGCTTGACAGTGGCGGAGCACGATGCCGAGCCGGGGGAAGGAGAAGGTGACCGTAGGCACAATCAAAGAGCAAGGACTTCAGGCGCGACGTGAGGGTGGGGAAGGAAGGGGCAACATGGAGGGTTAGAGGAAGAATGTTCCAGAGTTTCAGGACATAGTGACTAAAAGTGTGACCAGCAATGGTGGAATGGAGGGCATGAGGGACACGCAGAAGGCTGGAGCCAGTCGAGTGGAGGTAGCGGACTGTAGGTAAGCAAGTCAGAGAGGTAAGGAGGTGCCAGGGCATGAAAGAATTTGAAAATGTGTGTGAGGATGTTGAAATCGATCCATTCAGAGACTGGGAGCCAGTGAAGCCTGGCTAGAACTGGTGTGATGGGGGTACGGAGTTTAATGTGGATGAGTATACAGGCAGCTGAGTTTTGGGGTCAGCTGGATCCTGTGTATGGTAGAGCTGGGAAGACCGATGAAGAGAGCATTTGAGAAGTCGAGTCGGGAGGTGATGAACGCATGGACGAGTGTTTCGACTGCGTCTGGGGTAAGGTTCAGTCAGAGGCAAGCAATGTGGTGGAGGTGGAAAAAGTCAGTCCTGGTCAGGGACTGGACGTGGGACAGGAAGGACAGCTGTGGATCGAAACTGACACCTCAGTTGCGCACCGGTTCAGTAAGTCTGAGGGCTAGGCTGGGGAGGTCAGAGCTGCAGGATAGAAGACATTGCGGGAGCCAATGAATATGGCTTCCACCTTTCAACATTTAGAGTCAACATTTATACTTTAGTGCATCCTGTTAAGCACTTTGAAACGTCTCCATGATGTGACAAGACACTATATCAAATGCATACTGGATCTAGCAATGACATTCCCATCCAATATTAATCTTGACTCTCAGATAATTTGAAATGGAACAGGCTACATGAAATATTAAATCAGTGTTTTCCCACTCCACGATGTCAGCAGCAACTCTCCAACTTGCAGTTCCTACCCACAAATAACGTGACCCCTTCTCAACTGATGCTGGAATACCGTTCAATAGGTTTATCTGACACCCTATATAGCGAATGGCAGCCATTAATTATTTATCTATAGGGGCATCACAACCAATTCCAATCAAGTTATTACCCAACATACATTGAAGTTCATTTTCCTGAAGGGGTCAGGTGGATAGTGATCAGGATTAAAAACCCTGTTGATTTTTCTCTTCCCTTACGTGGCACAAGGGCATATTGTAGTACCCTTGTCATCACCAGCACATCTGAGAACTGCAAACTCAGCTTTGAACAGAATCTAGAATCAATATATCTTAGTATTACATTAAGCAGTTTAGTTACCCACAATGCAGCCATTCGGAAGCTTCTATATTTCACAGTTAAAATAATATTCAGTTGTACTGTGCTGGCACCAGAACTTTCTAAATATTTAGTCATTAGTCCCTTACTATCTTTAACATCTCAAGTACAAAAGACCAAAGACAACTCGCCTTTTTAAATCAAAAATACATTGTAAAACACGTTTAGCCAATTTACAAATACCTCTCCCACAAATCTACTTTTTCCCAAATGACGACGAGCATGTGAAACTCATAAAGCTCTGAATTGAGGAATTGAATCTGCCCCGGAATTTTTTTTTAAAAAAATCTTGTTTTCTGAAGCAAATTGCACTTAGTGTGACACATTTCCAACGAGACACCGAAATGATTTTGCCTAAAGTCTACAAAAATTGCGCACACTATGCTTCTTCATTGACACGATATTGGTTGCGTTGCAAAATGGATTCTGGCTCAGCAAAACACTACCAGCAATCCCGTTTAAGCAATAGGTAGCCCTAAAACGCAATGGCAATACTCAGTTGTGATGAACGCAAACCATGGCAATAAATAGTTCTCCCTTTGTAATTCAATACCTGGAGGAGTGTCCCATTTCTTGAACGGATGTAGCGCGAACCCAATAATTTGAATAAATGCTGAAGTACTGGTCGGATTTCCTTAGTCCCCATTAAGCATATTTACCTCATACATCGTTGCAAGGAACTGAAAAACCCTGGAATTATAGGGCAAAAAAAAACACACACACACACACACACGACACGCTGTCTCCAGAGGATATGCTTCCAAGGAAATGCAATAGGGTCATTCTCCATGGAATTCAATTGCCTACTCGCAGGATGTCAGTGCTATACATTATGCTCTTAATTGAACGCGTGAATCTCCGAGTGCTTTTACACATCATTTTTTTTGGACTCACACGAACGGGAAAACCACACGAATCCCAATACGCGAACGAACAACTCACAACACATACCGCATGAGGATACTTACATCTGGACCATCAGGTTACTGAGAAAAAACCCGTCCACCAACTCCACGTACTCGGAAAGTACACCCCCATTTGCTGGAGATAACGGTCCGTAAGTCTTGACCTGAGAATAAAAGTGGGAATTTTTGGGGGGAAACGTTTAAAAAAAAAAGACCTTTATATATATATATATTAAAAAAAATCAAAAAAAAAAAACGCGAGCGAGGTTTAACGTTATGCGATTCAAACGACGTCCAAAACCGCAATATCCTCGAATCCCCCCCCCCACCCCCCCACCAAAAAAAAAATAAAAAAAATCTGAAAAGCAGCCTTCGAAAAAGTCCTTACCCAAGTTACCAAAGGACTGGACATGAACTGCTCTAAAAGCGAAGAGAAATCGTTCTCCATTTTCAATTCACTGCAATCCAAGGGCTCCTTTTTTTTTAAACGGTACGATCCACCGCTGGCTCCTGCCGTCTCATCCCTGCGGTTGGCATCCTCGGCTGCAGTGTGTGATGTATGTGTGTTGTATGTGTGTGTGTGGTGTGTGTGTGTGTCACAACGTTTTAATTTTTTTGAAAAAAAATCTCCATTTTAAGCCAAAGTAGGACCGCGGGCTCCAGGATCCAGACCCTCTCGGCGATTTGCAACGGAGGCGCCGCCGACTTCGGGTTTCTTTAAAACGTGGACATTTGTGGATATCCACTTAAGTACAGTAACACCGGATTTGAATAAGTCAAGTCTGCGGCGGCGATTCGGGAAACCGCCTTCTTCCCGGCGCAGACACGAATTCCAGTGGAAACCCGTCAGTGCAACACTGCACCTTCTTGACAGATGATAATAATAATAATAATAATAATAATACGATTAGATTAAGAAACGAATGACATTTCTTTTCAGATTTTTTTTTTTTTTGGGGGGGGGGGGAAACGAGGCGATGTTAACAAATTCCCTGTTCAAAACAAAAAGTAACGGTAACGCGGGTCATCTGCAGCTCTCAATGGACAGCAGCGCTTCTCTAACGGTCCCTTCCAGCACCACCACCACTACTACCACCACCGCCGCGCGCACGCGCTGCGCTCCGGCTCCGGCACGAGCTGACTGACTAACGGCCGTCTCACGTCACTCCACGAGCCGCGTCGCCGCCCAGCTCGAGCGGAGCGGGACCGCTTCACTTCTGGGGGGGGGGGGGGGGTCGGCTCGGCTGTTTTTCTCTCGATCCAAGAGACCGCCGGATCAGTGCGCCGCTCGCTCCGTCCTTTTCCTCGCCCGCGAGCTGTGCCACTCCGCCAATCCGTGAGGGAGACGACGCGCAGGGAAAGGAGTCCTGCGGCGGCGGCGGGGACATTCCTTCGTGTGATTCAGTCTTTTTTTCATTCTTTACAGAGATCCGCCCTGCGATTTTGTTACGCTTTATTTTCACAAATACTTATCTGTACACTTACTGTACGAACCAGACGTGTTTTTTTAAAAAAAATATATATATAAAGTCGCCCTCTCTCCCTTCCCATTCACCCACACGACTTGTGACCGCCACGTTATTTCTGTAGTTTAGGCCATTATAAAAGGTTAGTGACCTCCACAGAAATGTAAAGGAGGCGACTCCATTCCCATCCCAGACCTCCCCCCCCCCCCGAACGGCATTAGGAAAGGATAATTTTTAAAAAATATGTAAGTGCTGTATTATATTAAAAAGGCAATACTGTACGGTATTATATATATAAAAAAAAACCATCAGCGACTCCAAACGGTACGTAAACCCTAACGCGAGGTGAGACCGAGGGAAGCACTTGGTGAGCGTCCTGGGGTTTTTGTAAATAAATATTTTCTATAAAATTCCCCCCCACTCACCCCATTTTTATTTTTTTTAAGCCGTTTTTCCATTTAAAATATCCCGAGCGACCCGCCCAGCACTCCTCCCACCCCGTTTTTTTTTGAGGGGAGTCCCTCTTGCTCTGAAGCTGCTGTTTGTTAAAGGCTTTCTCCTCCTTCGGGGAAAAAAAGAACGATTAACTGTAGCTTCAAAACACATGTTTCAAACCTTTCGGTACGATTCCAGGGGATGATAACATATTCTCTCGCGACTCATGATCGGCGAAGGGCGAGAATTCGGGCAAAGGAAGAGTGTGGGTTTTAGTGCTGCTCGACGAAAAGGAGAGTCTGGACCCACTGGGCATTGCACAAGCTCCAAAAGCTGCATTTATTTATTGCTGCACTTATGGCGGCGAAAACCGTCACAGTGATTTGCCGAGTAACGTGCTAATACAAACTGGTGCTCAGGCTGCCAGAACCGGACTGATGAAGCTTTGGTCCGTGACAACACTTTGGAGGTAGTTTCAGGAGCAATGTGTGGTAAGCAACACCGCAGCAGAAACAGGGTGGGTGCGAACCCCACTGAGTTGGATTACCACCACCACCACCCACCCGATCCGATTCGATTATAAACACATCCAATTTGGGGATTTATAATTTCCCGTTCCAATTCGAATCAATATAGAGCAGGAAACCGTGGATTTAGCTCTTTACTCCACAATTGCCATGAGAGGAATGAAAAAAAAACATGTTCCCCCTTCCCGCCCCCAAACAAACACACAAAATGCCTGGGGGGGGCAAAGAGGTAATATTCGTTTTAATAGCTGTGGTTGGAAGTATTTCATTTTTTTGTAAAATAAAACGCATTATGCATTTTTTTCAATTATAAAGGCATGCCAAAATATCTATATTATAGCCATCAGCATAAAATAATCCTATGCTGGAACCTGACTGTTAAAACCAATTGGCTGTATTCAGCCTTATTTTAATGTTAGGAGTCCATTTATTTATTCCCCTTGGCAATGAACAGACCGTGGACCAGAGGGCAGGCAAGATGACCTCTTCCCAGGTTTCAGCCAATCGCATTTGTGTGCCAGTCAATAAGAGGTGAAGGGGCAATACAGTTGAGATAAAGAAAATGTAGAAAAATGGAAGAGGGAAGTGAATCAGCATCCTACTAATCAGTCCCGCAACCAACCCTTCCCACCAATATACTGGAAAGATTAGTCATGTTTTAAAAGGAAACCTAAGCTAAAGACAATAAATGTAGGCAATCATGAATAAACCAGAACATTGAGATCAGAATTTGGTTTGGATTACGAATGGAATGATACTGTCAATTACTAGCAATACATTTGAAAATGTAGCAATTTATGGGATAATTATGACTTGGTTTGTGAAAAAAAATTGTGATTCAAATCCAAAATCTGAAAAAAAAATGAAAACGTTTTTGCAAAGGTGGGTACAGGCTGTTTTCTGGACTTTCAAGCCCATTTGTCAGTTGAAAAAGCAGAATGCCAGCTGCAATCTCAAACTGAAAAATTGCATGCTGTATCTTCAACTGCAATATCTCAGATTGAAGAGAGCAAAATGCACTTTACTGGTTCTCTGATGTTGCAAAATTATTCTTTTAAAAAATAAATCCACTAAAATGCTCTATTTTCTGAGTATATAAACTAACCAACAGCGCCTTGGGACGTCCTCCCGACGTGAAAGGCGCTCTATAAATGGAATCTTGTTGTTGTTGTAACTTTAGGATGGTGTTTATTTGAAGAAAGCGATAAAAAAATAAGGTCTGTTGCTGCATTGTTCTAGAGAGTTGCCTTTTGCTTCTATTTTGTATTGACCTACTTTGTTGAGGTTACTATTCCTATGAGATGTTTTTCACAATGTAGATGGTCATTATTTACACAGTTGATGTAATGGTCTAAGTCTAAATGTAACTACATTCCCCAAATGGTTGAGTTCCACACAAACTACCATCCAATAACATTATTAACTAGATTGCCACCAGATGCTTTAAGATATTTCAACTATATGATGATGTGCTATATCAAATGTAAGAATTATTATACAGTAATAAATTTAAGGGAGAATTTAAGGCATTGGTCTATAAGTTTGATAGGGAGAATTCCTTTGAAAATTCATTAAGATGGAATTTGCTAATATGGGAAAACAGAATTATTTTCTATTATTGGGGCATTGTTGCCATTGTGCTCACCCAGGCCAAGTCCGTATCCAGAGATAAATTCCTTCCACATTTCCCCAAATACATGTCTTATTCCCAACTGCAGAAGAGCAATCATACTAACTATTGCGATTTTCAAATTCCACTAAGCCATCCTTATACCCTCACAGCGTGATATTCTAAATTTAATAATAATAATAATTTAACCTTAACTAGTGCTGAATTATGTGCAACCATATACATTGAGACAGTCCAGATTCATATCACTTGGGATCCTTCGGCTATACACATACTACATATTAGATGGTGTGTTGACATAATTTTGCATTGATATGCCACCAAACATACAGTGTAAATGGGGATTCAGCCAATGTGAAGTGCATTGGAAACCAGCTACTGACACCACTTGAAAGAGATGGTTTTAAGAGCAGTGTAATTTATCCACATGCAGTATAAACTCATATGTGAATAGCAGGAGGCTAACTGCCCCAGTGAGAGAAATATTGAGATGTATTGGAGTTTCCAAGACACTGGGATGCTTTCGAACTTTTTAAAAATGTAATTAAATGGCTGATTATTATTAAAGGCTTTTTAAATACATTCATTAAAACATTAATACATTAAAAACAAGTGGTATTCTGACAGCAGCACATTTCATTTCTTTTCATTTGCAAACTAAGACAAGGTAGGATGATCATATAAAACAGGCTTCCCACTTTGTCTCACTATGCTATTGAGAGTGAAGTGGCTTTACTCCAGGCAGCATTACTGCATCAAAGAGAAGAGATTCATCCCATTAATCTCATCTGGATTCTGATTTAGATTCCAGAGATGAAATGTTAGTTTTATAACCCATTTTTCATTTCCTCTCCATTTATTAAATTAAGATCTGCCTAAAGGCAGGAGACAATATTTTCTTTTTAAGGGGTGGAGGAATATTTTGCCTGTCAATATATAAGGTTTGACAGCAAAGGGAATTCATCAATTTCTAAGTTTTGGATCTGATGGTAACATCTAGCCCTGAAATATACTCTTCAGAATAAATCCTTACAACATCAATGTGTGACTACAATTTGTCACACCAGCCACCCTGAAGGCGTTTTTTAATGAAGTTGCTCACATTTTGTAAAATAAAACAAACAAATATATTTTTAAAATCACAAGTAAATAACGTGGATTTGAAGACCTTACAGAAATGCTCCATGACTGCTATGGAAGTACCTGTTAAAGATAAAAAGTTGTAGAAAAAGGATCGGTATTGGGACCACTGTTGTTCACAACATTAATGATTTGGACTCGGGAATCAGAAGTAAAATTTCTAAATTTGCAGATGATACCAAATTGGGGGAGTAGTTAATACAGAGGAGGACTGCAACAAATTACAAGACATTAATAAACTTGCTGAATGGACATTTAAATGGCAAATGTATTTCAATGTAGAAAAGTTAGAAGGAATAAGGAAGTCA